TTGACGATGTGCGGAAGCAGAGCTTGGGAGCTCGGCAGTGCGTTCTCCTCTCCACCACACAAAACCAGGAAAAAACCCAAGCTCAGAGGAATCGGCCCGTTCCTCTGCCTCGAGGACGCACCTGGAGAACACGTGAGGCCTCCCTCCGTTGCACCCCAAAGGGGTGACACTCATCTTTCAGGCCGGGCACGGACAGGCGGCGGGTCCCACAGCCACACGAGGGCACAGCTCTTTCGCTCCGAGAGGCGGTGCGGTGTGTTTCGAAGCGCCGTGCCGAAGGCACCGCGTGTGCCCGGCGTGCGTCCGGCCGCCCCGCCACGCTGGCTCTGTCTCTGCTCGGGGAGGGGACCGAGAGAGCCCGGGTGGGGGGTCGGAGCTTTGCACCCTCTGCCTGCGTGGAACGGCGGGTGCCTTTCGCCCCCAAGGTGCCGCTGCCCTCCTGGCAGTTTGCGTCACCAGCGGCACCGAGCTGGACAGTTGTTGTTCAGGTGCTCATTGGCACGGGGCGCTCCTGACAGTCTGCGGGACTTCAGCTTTGAGCTCTCCACGCGGCTCGGGCCCAGATGGGCCACGACAGAAGCAGCCGGCACCGCGCTCGCCTCCCTCGGAGTCCTAGAGGCAGTGCCCGTGCAGCAAGGCTTCAGGGACTGGCTGCATTAAGGTCCCCTTCTCTCTCTGCCTCTCGGAGCGAAATAGCTGTGCCCTCGTGTGGCTGTGGGACCCGCCGCCTGTCCGCGCCCGGCCTGAAAGATGAGTGTCACCCCTTTGGGGTGCAACGGAGGGAGGCCTCACATGTTCTCCAGGTGCGTCCTCGAGGCAGAGGAACAGGCCGATTCCTCTGAGCTTGGGTTTTTTCCTGGTTTTGTGTGGTGGAGAGGAGAACGCACTGCCGAGCTCCCAAGCTCTGCTTCCGCACATCGTCAAGCCCGGCTGGCAGCTGCTTCTAGTCCCTGCAGCTCAGGACCGGTCGGCAGTAGACCCTGATGTGCAGAGCTCGGGGGGCTCCGGTCCGCCACTCCCTGAGCCACGTCTTGAAGAAGTTGACCCTGAACTCTGTTTGGCTTCCCGGGCCACAGCAGCAGCTTGTAAATTAACCGGCAAACCTTGCCCCTGCTGCTCCAGGTGACGAATTGTGCCTGTTTTGACACCAGGCTTGCACGGTGAGGTTCTCCTTCTGCCCCCAGAGAGGGGGGTGGACCGGAACGGAGTGAAGCCCGTGGGAGTTGTGGAGCCTGGGGAGCTCCAGGATGACGAACCTCTGCCGGCGTGTTCTGCTGGGACACCGGCACTGACCACAGTCTCTCCAAACGCTCAAGGGGCTCCGCTGCCCGGCCTGAATGGGGCAGAGGAGAGAGCATGTGCCAAGAGAGCCGGCGGGCCGGGCGGAAAGCCTAGGAAAGGGGGATGGAGGAATGCAGGATGAGGAGCGACGCCACGACCCCCTGGGGCAGCTCCGGGGTTTTACGGCTGGCTGAGGCGGGAAGCAAATGTCCCCCCCGGCGAACTGGGGCAAGGCTGGAGACTGCTCTCGTAGTCGGGGGAGCTCTTGCCTGGGTGTTCCGGGCAGAGCGGGCGCTCTCGGTGAGGCGAGGTCTTCGCCCGGCACATTCAGCGTGCTGTGCCAGCGTGCACGAGATTGCATCTCCGAGCCTTGCCCATCAGCAAAATTAGAGCGTGTTCTTCCCTCTCAGGGGCGGGAGGGATGGTCGGGAGGAGGGGAGCAGTTGCCACCTGGGCGTGGGCCGTCAGGGAAGCCCCTGATGGCTTCTCCACCTCCTGGCTTCCCGTCTCTGCCTGCCACAGGGAGCTTTTCTTGGGCGGAGAGCAGTGATTGTGGTCCCCGCTAACCATCGCTTGCTTGCCCGTCGGTGTTGCCGAGCCTGCTCTTATCCTTCCCACCATCAGCTTTCATTAGAGCACTCCGCACCCCACCGCTCGGCTCGGTGAGGGATGCCAAAGACGTCACCAAGGATTGCCGAGTCGGGCGGCCAGCAAATTTTGCTCCTGAGCGGAAGACTAATGAAGTTGTGAATTAGCAGGTGCGCGGGTGCAGGAGGGGGCCGGGCGCACGCTGACAGCAGCAGCACGCGCAGGCGGCCTCGGCCCAGCACCTGCAACGGTCTCTGCTGGAGCCGGAGCCTCTGGCGCGGCCTCGGGCCCCGCTGGGCTTCCTGCCGGCCGGGCAGACGCGGGAGCAGCACGGCGGGTGCGATGCCTGAACCTCTGCTGTGTTTGACTGGCGAGCGCTGGGCCGTTCTGCCCAGCGCTGAGCCGCGGGGGAGAGCGGTGCTGAGCTCTGGGCGGGCAAGCGGAGAAGAGGGAAAGGCCGTTCCGAGCTGCTCGGAGGAGGACAGCCAGCTCCGGCTGTGGAGCTGCTCCTGGAACGAGGGCTTCCTTCCGATTCTTGCGGTGTGAGCTCCTGAAACCTGCCAGTGGTGACTGGCAGCCCGGCTGGTTCCCGACACTGGTCCCTCTTTGGAAGCCCGCGACGAGCTGGCCGCCCTTAGGAGAGACGGAGGAGCTTCCCTCTAAGAAGGGAGGATGGCAAGAGATTCTTTGCTCCCCCCTGGGCAAGCGTGGCCCGAAGCCAGAGGGCACGTTCGGAACACGTGTGGGCTGCAGTCTGCTGGGCCCGAGCGTTGAGAGGCTGCAGGTGCTGCAAGGGCAGAGCCAGGCTGAAAGCTGTCCCAGGCAAGCAATACTGAACCTCTGCGCTGCGTTGTACGGGCAGGGCTGGAGCAGCTGCTTCCACATCTCTCTGCAGCAGGAGGTGGCTGGCGAAGGAGGGGGTGTGCAGCCTCCTGCAAAAGCGGGGCCCCGAGTCCTGTTCAGAAGCACGTGTCTAGCGGATAGATAAACTCCTGGGCGGCCAGCCTTTGTTTGGGCCAGCGTGGATTTGCAGTGCTCTTTCACTGGGTCTCCTCACCTCTGGAGGCGGGGGCGTCCTGTCCCCGTCAGCCCTGGTGTTACCCTCACCCTCTGCAGTGCAGTGCGGAGCCCGGTGCCTTCACCCAGTTGGACTCGACGCAGCTCAACTACGCCACGTGCAGCGCAGCTCTTTGATGCCCCTTTCTGCTGACACCCCTCGCAGTTCCTCCGTCTGGTTGCTAGTTTTGCCGACCTCCAGGAAAGGTTCCTCTGCCGGGGTTCTCCACGTCCCAGGTGGGCGCCTCGCTCGCTCAGCCGGGCTGCTCTCCTGCTGCGGAAAAGCCGCCCAGAAGCGTCTCTGTTCCGTGCCTGATTTGACATGAGGATAGAATTCCTTTCCGTGCGGCGCCTCTTGCCCCGCAGCTCGGCCACGTTCCGAGTCGGGAAGATGAGGCTTTGAGCCGTTCCTTTGTGTGCTCTCTCCTTTGGTCCGTGACCTTGTTTTAACGCCTTCTCCTGGCCTTACAGAGAGCCCTGACGGAGCCGGGAGGCAGCTTGGCAGCTGCAACCGTACAGGGAGTGGTGGCATGGAAGTGCCTGGCTGCGGCAAGCAGCGATCCCTCTCCCGCTGGCCTCGGCCCCTTGCACTGCCGGGTTCCTGCCGGACAGATCCCGAGTCCCCCCAGCTGCAGCAGTTTGACGCTCGGCGCTGGCAGGAGGCCGAGAGTTTGGCTGCTCCCGGGCCCGCCGGTTGCGTGCGGCCGAGAGTTTGGCTGCTCCCGGGCCCGCCGGTTGCGTGCTTAAAGTGCTGCTCTGGCAGCCACGTAATGAAAGCCCTGGTGAGATGGGCTGAGCTGTCCCCTCTCCCGATCGAGATCTCCTGCGGGCTTCTTTAATGGCCCTGTCAGGTGATTCCGCGTTCCTGCGTGGAACGATTCCTGATCCCGTGTAATTTGCCAACTGACCGAGCAGCTCTTCCCCCAGACGTGCTGCTCCCTCCCATGCCATCGCTCTCGGTGCTTTCTCCCTGCTTTCCTCCGGCAGCTGGCAGCAGCCAGGCTCGTGGGGACCTCGGGAGGGGCCCCTTCCTCCCGAACGCTTCTCCCCAGCGCCCCAGGCCCTTCGGCAGCCGTCCGTGCTGCTCCCGGGGCTGTTCTGGGACAGCCGGGGCCAGTTTACGTGCAGTTCAGCCGCAGCGGTGCCAGGCTCCTTGCGGTGCTCGTGCCTGCCGAGGGGCTTTGGGGGTTCACAGCCCAGCCTGCTGGGGGCCGGGGGGGGGAGTAGCTGCTGCTCAGGCCCTGTTCCACGCTGCCCCGAGTCCCGAAGGTCCCTGTTTGCCGCAGGCGGGCTGACTTCCCCACCCGGAGCTGCACACCGGCGGGGCAGCAGGCGTGCCTCGGCCCCGGCCGTGCTGCGGCGACAGGGGCAGCGGCTGTTTTGCCCGGGGCGCCCGGCCCCAGCCGGCTGCGTTCTCTCCCTGGCTGGGAGCCGGCGGCAGCTCCTCGGCTGGCTCCGGTGCGGTGGGAGCCCGCTCCCTCCTCGGAGCGCCGCAGCCCCGGGTGCGGCCCCTCGAGCTCCGCCAGTCTTCCTTCTGGGCAGGGGCACGGCTGGGCCTGGCTTGCCGAGCCGAGCCCAGGGAGCCCACGGTGCCGCCAGCCCAAGGCGCAGAGAGAGACGTGCCTGCTGTCAGGGTCCGGATTGCCGCGGTGCCTTGGGGGGCCGCTCTGTGTTCCGCGCTTGGAACTGCCAGGAGGCGGCTGGGGGGGCCCATCGTCGAGCCGGACTTCTCGGCCCTCGTGCGGAATGTGCCGCCGCTGCACATTTGCACGGCAGGCAGGCACGTGGGGCCGGGGCTGCCTTGAATCAGCCCGTGGCTCGGCTGGGGCGCGGAGGCCTCCCGAGCCGGGCGAGTCCCAGTGGAAATGCCCGCAGCCCCAGGATCAGATAGGGGAGGTTGTGTTTAAGGAGCAGACCTGCACGGACCAGCAGATCTTCCCTGCAGATCGGTGGCTAGCAAGGCGGAAGCAAGCCGCAGCGCTGGTCTGGCACCTCCCAAACGCCGAGGAGCGATGGCTCCTCCCGTGGCACCTCGCTTCTCCCCCAGCCCTCGCCCTGTATATAAGGCCCCTGGGAGCAGCCTCGGCACAGCCCAGCCCGCTCCAGCCCGGCCGACAGCGAGCTGCACCTCCAGTGCCAGCAGCCCAGCTCTCGAGGAGAGGGATCCCGGCGGCCTTCGGCATGGGTAAGAGAGGCTCTGCGCCTCCCCGCAGCCCCCAGCAGCTCCAAGCCTTGTAGCCCCGTCCCCGCTGCGGCTCCAGCCGCTGCCTGGAGCCTGCGGCCATCCCACCTCGACACCCGCCGGGGGCCTGCCGGGTTTGCTCCTCTGCAGCGCGGCAGGAAGGAGAAAGGGGGGACTGCAGGCTGCCGTTCTGTCCGCCCGGTGCCAGAGGTTTCCTGTGTCTCGCTACCGTTCTGCCCCCGGGGCTTCGTTTGGCCTCGGAAAGCTCCTGCCCGGTGGCCGCAGCAGCATCCCTCGTGCTGGGGGGAGCCTCCCCTCGTGCTGGGGAGTCCCCAGGGAGCCCCAGAGCAGACGTATTTGCCGGGCCAGAGCTCCCGTCCTGGCGTGGTGCTCGGCGGGAGCTCTCTCGCCGGCCGGCCCTGCTGCTGGGGAGGGGATCGGCTCCGCGGGTGCCAAAGGGAACCGAGCGGGGGTTTGGGGCGCGATAGCCCCGGCGGCGCTCTAGGGAGGGTTCCTCTCCTGGACCTGCGGTTTGCCAGTGCCGTCACACCACCAGGAGGTGCTGGTCCCAGAGGTCCCCGCTGACAGCAGGGCTGGGAGAGGGGCCCCGGAGGGACAGAGTCTTCTCTCGGGGCGTGGACGTTTCTCATCTTGTCCTTCTCTTCTTCGCAAACCAGACAGATGCAGAGCTCAGTGCTACGAGTACCCCACCTGCCAGGATGCTGTGAAAGGCAAGTCCTCTTGCGCGTGCCGGCTGTGACCGCGTGGAGATGCGCTTTGGTTGTCCTCGTGCCGCTGGGTCCGTAGGGGAACCCGGGCCGGGGAGCGCTCACCGCGCCAGGCGGAAGGTTGCAGCGGGCAGAGAAACAGTTCGGTCCTGGCGGAGAGCGTGCTGAAGCTTTTCTCGTCCTTCCTGGCCGGCTCAGGGCATGCTCTAACACAAGCTTTCTGTACGTGCAGCTCCCAGAGAGGAGGTGGCCTACGTGACCTGTACCTACAGGGAAACATGCATCGAGCAACCCGACTTCCTGGCCACCGTCGATCTCAACCCCCGATCGCCGTGTTATGGCCAGGTACCTGGGGCTCAGCGGGGTCTGTATGGGGCCGGTGCCGCGCTGCTGGCTCTGGTCTTCGTAGTGCCTCCAGGTTCAGGACCTTCCCTCTGTTTTGCCGGGGAAAACCAGCTTGCTGGGTAGCCCCTCTGCCGTGCCAGCTGTCCCTCTGAGCCTTGCACCTTCCCGCATCCTTCTATCTCACCCGCAGGGCCGTGGCTCTTTTTCCCCCGCTACCTGGTGGGGTTCTGCCAAGCCCTGTCTGGGAAAGCCCTCGCGCGTTCTGTCGCGGCAGCGCCCCTTCCTGCTTCTCCTCTGGTGTTCTGTGCCAGGCAGGGGAGCTGCCTGCTCGGAATCACCTTCCTGCTCTCTTTGCACTGTCCGTGATCTGGCTGGACCCTCTCCATTCCTGTGTCCCGGGGAGAAGCCGGCTCCGACTCACTTTCCAACTCACTTGCCGAGCATCCGGTGCCGCTGGTGAGCTTTGGAGCGCCGAATGCCCTGCGCCACCCTGCCGGCGGCTGCTCAGGGGGGAGGATGGTCTCCGGTGCCCCGGGCGGGTTCGGGCAGCCGGCGCTTTTGCAGAGCGCCGCGTGTTGCGGTTGTGCTGCGGTGGCAGGGCTGTTCTGTTATGCACCGACCCAACCCGCCTGCTGCCCTCCGGAACTGGACGTCGGCACTGCCGTCTCTGGAGGCCGCAAAGAAGCGCCGGCTGTGCGGCTTTGAACTGATCAGGCACACTGAGGCTCTCACCTTCCCACAGACCCGCTTTAGCGCAGGGAGTGGAGCTGCCGCCTCTAAGGTGCTGCCGGCCTCCGGGTCCCCCTTTCTCCCTGTGTGACCTCTGGCTCTCCCTCGACTGCCTAGGTGATCCACCGCCTGCCCATGCCCAACCTCAAGGACGAGCTGCATAGCGCGGGGTGGAGCGCTGGCTGCAGCTGCTTTGGCAATAGCACACCGAAAAGGAACAAGCTGATTCTTCCCTGTTTGATTTCTTCCCGCATTTACGTGGTGGATGTGGGTTCCCAGTGCCGGGCTCCCAGGCTGTGCAAGGTATGCCTGAGGTGATTCAAAGGCAACTTTCTGGGAAGGAGTTGGGAACGGATGCTTCTGCAGCGGTCGGTGGGGAAGAAGGGTTCTCTCCTCATCTGCTCTTGCGCCCCGGTCGGCGAGGGCCGGCTCGCGCTGCCCCCTCAGCTCTCTCCTCTTCCGAGCGAGGAAGGCTCCCGTCACGGTTGCGTGGCTTTCGGTGTGCCCGGGGCATTCGGAGGGAGCCGCACGACTGGCAGTGCCGCCGCAGGCAGACAAGCCCTTCTGGCAGAGGTGCTGCTTCTCGTCCGGGCAGAGGGGAGCTCCGAGGCCCCTCTGCTCCGCGGCAGGGAGGAGCAGGCCCGAGCAAGTGCGAGTGCTTGGAGCGCGAGCTCCGGCACGCGTCGGGGAGTCGCGGGGGCTCTGGTGGCCAAAGGCTCTGCCCGGGGGTGGGACTCGGGCCGAGCCGTCGGAGGCTGAAGCGGGGAGGTGTGTCACCGTTTTTCAGACGATTGAGCCGGTGGATGTCTTCTGGAGGTGCAACAAGGCACACCTCTGCACAGTTCGCAGCCTGCCCAGCGGTGACATACTGATTGCCAACATGGGAGACGCAGCCGGCAATGGCAAAGGTACGTTTTCCTTTGGTAATCACTCCGAGGATGTCATTCCTCTTAGAAAAACAGCAGGCTCAAAGCCGGCGGCCTCGGGGGGGTTCCGACAGCAACCGGGAGGTGCTGGTTGGCTCGTCCCAGCCCTCCCGTGCTGGGGCAAGCACAACAGTCACCCACAAGCCTGAGGCGCAGCGCGGGGCCGTGAAGACCCGCGTCCGAGGAAACGCCGGGCTGCTCTGCACAGTCAGGTGTTCAGCCTTGCTGTCTTGGCGTGACGTGGCGTGACGTGGCGTGACGTGGTGTGACGTGGCGTGTCTTAGCCTGCCTTGTTCAGCCGGGGCTGCTCGAGAAGAGGGGGGTGGGGCGGGTGCTGCCGGCACAGGAACCTTGGCCGTTGGAAGCACTTCACGAGCATGAAGTTGGGATCGTTGCTGGTGTCCAGGACTTCTGCTCAGCGTGCACAGGAACCTACAAACACACCCCCTGAGCCGGCAAAGCGCCGCGGAGCCTCTGCAGCCGCGGGTCTCGGGGTCGAAGCGTTCGGAAGCTCTTGGCCTTTTCAGCGGGTCTAATGCCCAAAGCCGGACACCCGTTCACGAACGGGGCGTGCGATTTGCCCCGCGTCCCCTTTTGTGTCACAGGTGGGTTTATCCTGCTGGACGGAGAGACCTTTGAGCTGAAGGGGAACTGGGAAAATGAGTGTGAAGCCCCGCCGACCGGACACGACTTCTGCTACCAGGCACGCCACAACGTGCTGGTCAGCTCTGCTGGAGCCGTCCCGAGACGAGCGGGACGTGGGTTTAATTGCGACGACTTCAAGAAAGGTGGGGGACAAAGGCTGCAGGGGCCGAGGCAGAGCTCAGCGGGCTGGTGGGAGGGGGGGGTGCCGTCAGGGAGAGGGGACAGGCGGAGTTCTCCCCGCACGGAGCTCTCCGGTGCCAGCACGTGCAGCGTCCGTCCCCGCGACAGGCTGGTCCCTCTCGTCCCCCGCGGCTCCCTGGGTGTCGGCTCTCTCTCTGCTGGTCCTGGCGAGGGGCTGCTCCGGCTGTCCCTGCCTGTGAGCGTTTGGGGGAGGGACTCGTGCCCAGGAGTGGCCCCCGGTTCTGAGAGGGCTCTCCTTTTCCTCAGGGGTCTTTGGGCGCCGCCTGAACGTGTGGAACTTGTCCTGCCGCAGCCTCACCCAGTGCTTTGACCTGGGGGAGGACTCTTTGCCCCTGACGGTGAAATTCCTCCACAACCCCGATGCTGCCGAGGGCTACGTCAGCTGTGCCCTGAGCGGTGTCGTCTACCGCTTCTACAAGTGCGAGGCAAGTGTTCTGCCAGCAGCCAGGGGCGACGCGGCCCGGTGAGCTGCAGGGGGATGAGCGCCCGGGGACTCGTGTCGGCGCCGAAGCCCAGCCCGGCTGTGGGTGTCAGACGATGCTGCCTCAGCGCGTCTGCTCGTAGCAGCTGGGTGCAGCGGTGGCCTTCCCCGGGCAGCTTGGCCTGGCTGTGCACGCGTGGGGCGCAGGGGGGGCTCCTGCCTGGCCAGCCAGCGCGCTCACGGCGCTGGGCCTGTGTTTCTCGTGCAGAGAGACAACTGGGAAGTCGAGGAGGTGATCCGGATACCAGCCAAGGAGGTGACGGGCTGGATCATGCCCAGGATGCCCGGTCCGTGTGCCCGCGGGTGGCGGTTCCTCTCTCCTCCACCCCGGAGGGGATGGCGGCGGCGCCTCGGGCTGCGCAGCCCGGCAGAGCCCCCTCGCTGCCCGCAGAGCCTCGGCCTTGCCGTGCCATCGCAGCGGCGGCGGTTGGAGGGGCGGGGGGGGGTGCAGACCCCGCGAGGAGCCGGCTGCCCGGCTGGAGCCTGCCCACGGGGGCAGGTCCCCTGTGCTCGAGGCACGGCGGGCGGCACGGCGGGGAGCGGAGCGAGCTGGGCTCCAGGCGAGGCACGTCTGCTGTCGGTGCTGCCTTCTCTGGAGCTCTTTGTTTCCGTGCCCTAGCCTTCATCGCCGACCACATCATCTCGATGGACGACAGGTTCCTCTACCTGAGCAACTGGCTGCACGGAGACATCCGCCAGTACGAGCTCTCCAAAAACTGCAGGCCCCGGCTGGTGGGACAGGTAAGGCGGGCGCAGAAGGGCTGGCGGTGCTGGGTCCCTCCCCGCGGAGGGGGCTGGCGGCGGGCGGGCGGTGGCGGGTGCCGCGGCTGCCACTGCCTCGCTTGCAGGTGTTTGTGGGAGGCAGCATCCTCCGGTGCGGGCCCGTGACCGTGTGCAGGGACGAGGAGCTGAAGTGCCAGCCGGAGCCCTTGGTGATCAAGGTGAGTCCTGCGTCCTCCCCGTTGCCCTGGAGGCCCCTGGACTCCGGCTCCGCCGGCGCTCGGCTGCTCGAAGGCAGAAGGCGGTGACAGCCCTGCGCTCTGTTGGGCCCCCAGTGCAAGAGAGTGTACGGCGGCCCCAGCAAGCTGCAGCTCAGCTTGGATGGCAAGAGGCTGTACGTCACCAACTCCCTCTACAGCACCTGGGACAAGCAGTTCTACCCCAACATGGTGCGGTAAGGAGCGCCGGGGGGCAGGGGGCCTCTTTTGGGGGGCCCCTGTGTCCGGATTCACACGCAGTGGGCTCGCGAGCATCTCTGGCCGGGCGAGGGGCAGCTGCTGCCGGAGCGGAGCTGCAGGGCCGGGGGTCTGCTCGGGGGAGAGGAAGGGTTTGGGTCGGAGGGCGGCGCGAGTCCCCTGCGGGTGGCAGAGCCAGGCCCCGTCTCTGCCACAGCCGCTGCCGGTGCGGGTGCGTCCCCCAGAGGTGCTTTGGCTGAGCCAAGCAGGCGAGGGTCTCCACACAGGGGCAAGCTCCAGCCCGCCCGTCCCGGCGTGCGGAGCGGTTGCCTCGGGTGCCCTGGGAGTTGAGGAGAAGCGCCGGACCCGCGCCTCGGCTGCCTTCTCTTCCCTGGCGAAGGCAAGAGGAGGAGGAGGAAGCCTCTTCCTCGGCACGCAGCAGCAGGGTGAAGGGCAGGGCCTCTCCCGCAGGGCCGCGCTCTGCTCGCCTGTAACGGCTGCGCTCTCGGCCCCTCGCAGGGAAGGCTCTGTCATGCTGCAGATTGATGTGGACACGGAGAGGGGAGGCCTGACCGTGAACAAGAACTTCCTGGTGGATTTTGGAAAGGAGCCCAGCGGGCCTTGCCTCGCCTCCAGCATCCGCTTCCTTAACGGGGATTGCACCTCCGATACCTGGGCCTAGGCGCCACGGGCAAGACTCCCTTCTTCTCCCTCTTCCGTAGCGCAGCCCTGGAGAAGGAGCGGAGGGTAACTGGGTGGGGGGTCCCCGTTCGCTGCCGGAGTCGGGATTTCTGCTGCCAGGAGCGAGGAAGCTCTGCCTTCTGGCGAGGGTTTGGCTGGGGCAAGCCAGTGACCAGTGGCGCAGGGCACGTGTTCGGCGCGCTCGGCGCCGAGCGCTCCCTGCTCGCGATTCCCCGAGCAGAGCCCGGGGCGGTCGCCGGGCTGCGCAGCCGTGCAGAGCGCTCAGCGCCCTGCGGCGGGGAGGGAAGCACCCGCTTGGCCCGAGCTGCTGCTCTTCAGCCAGCTCGGTGCAGGATCGTCCTCCCCCGGCACCAGAGCCCTCTGGGCTGGCTCCCCGCGCGCTCGGCTCGGGGGGCGTCGCGGCCGGGCGAGGACGGAGGGCTCTCTTTCGACGAGCGGTGCCTGTTCCCTGACACTGGTTTGCGCTTGTGCGCTGCTTTAAACGCGAATAAAACTGCTCTTTGCATCAGCTGGATCTTCGCGTGTCTTATTTCAGCGAGGGCTGTCAGATTTTCCTAAGGGGAAAACGAACGTCACCGGTGCTTATCGGTCAGACCGGGGGCTCGCAAAGCCCTGCGACGGGCCGTGGATTGTGCCGGAGTGCCCGACCGTCTCCCTGGCACTTTCCGGCAGACGTTGCCTTCGGCTGCTCTCTCGTCGCGGGCGTTCGTGCAGGCACGCATTGCAGAGGGGAACTTGGCAGCCGATTCTCCCCTCTCTGCCCCAAAGAAACGCACCTCGTCAACGCGACAGGGTGCTGTCATCAAGCAAAGCAACCGTTTGGCTTTAGTCGGGCTTACCTGAAGATCCGCGAGGGACTGAAAGGACGCGCTTAGACCCTCCGGGGAGATCCCCGGTGTCTGGGAAGCGGCCGCCTTGCTGCTGGCGAGAATATTGGGTTCAGCTTGAGCGGCTCCCCTGGGCAGCAGAGTCTGAGGCAGCTGAGGCAGAGTCCAGCTCGGGGGCTCGCCCGCAGCGCCCTGCGCACACTGGATCGGGTGATGTTGGCAAACTCACCTCAGCCCCCTCACCATTCTCAACAGACCGTGCTCTGCGTTTGGCAAAAGGCGGCAGGCAGTCACCGGCGTGGCAGATCGTCCTCCTGCCGACGGCGTGCCGCCTGGGACGTGGGCTCCCAGGCACACACTGGAAGCCTGTTTGCGGCACGGGGCAGCAACCCCCGGCCTCCAGCACCTGCTGCACACCCACGCGTCCTCCCCTGAGGCCCAGTTGCCTCGAGCAATTTCCCAAGGGGCCGCCTGCCTTGCAGCCACAACCGCACTCAGCTGGAAGGCTGCAAAAGCTGGGGCATCGAGAGGATCCTTCTGAGTTTTGGCCCTCTGTGCGCTTCCCTTGGAAGAACACAGCTCCATGGACTTCCTTCACAGCGCTCCTGGGCCAGCACCCTGCTCCACCTCTCTTGGGCCCCCGGGGGGGCTGCTGCTCAGCACCCTGACGGCCGGAGCGTGGCACCCCGCTGGGCTCCGGCCGAGCCGCCCCGCCTGGGCGCCTGCCCCGGGGACGTCCCTGCAGCTGAGGTGGCTGTGGAAGGAGCCCGAGCTCGCCTTCCTTCGGCGCCTGCCGAGCACGGAGCTCGGGGAGGTGCCTCCTCCTCTGCGCCGTCCCAGGGAGCGTCTGGCCCGCCGACGGCCCCTGCCAGCCCGCGCCCGGGGTGGCTGGCGGTGGCCGAGCGGGATCCGGCCGGGACACCCCTCCTGGCGAGGGGGGCCGGCCCCCTGCGCCTCGGGGCAGGGCAGAGCTCCCGCAGCGCAGCGCGGGGCCGTGCTGGCGGGGCTGCTCAGCGCCGGCCGCCCCTCGCGCTGCCCTCTGAGCGCCCGCTCGGACTTGCAGGTGGCCGCGCGGCGAGGCGAGGACGCGGCCCACGCTTCGAGCCGCAGCCCCGCCGTGAGGCTCAGCAGGCGACGCCACGGAGCTGACCCGGCTGCTGCTCCCGCCCTGGGGCCACGCTCTGCCCGCGCCGGCTGGATGCGGACGGGCATCTGCTGCTACGAGCAAAGCCCCTCGTCCCCCCCCGGGCCCCTTCCCGGGTGTCTGGGCCCCGAGGTCCCCGGGGCAGGGAGCGGGGGCCTCTCCTCCGCCTCGTGCGGGAGTTCTGCTGGCGACTGTGGAGGCCGCTGCGTGGGCAGTGCGGTGGGGGTGCCTGACCTGGGGAGGCGGAGAGCTGGGGCGGCTGCTGGCTGCTTCCTCGGGTCCCTCGAGGCCTTGCTTGGCAGGTGGGCTTCTCCCTGGGGCCAGCACCCCTCCAGTCCCTCGGCGCTTCCAGCGGCTCCCCAGGAGGACAGACGCTGCTGGCCTCTCCCCTCTTCCCTTGAGACAATCTTGCTGAGCTGCCACAGACGTTCCTGCGGAGGATGGCTGGAAGGTGGATGCGAGTCCAGATGAAGCTGGGCCGCTGCTTATATATGCCTTGTCCTTTGCATTGAAGCTCTGGGGCCTCTTGGAGAAGCTTTCCTTGCTCAGAGGCAAGGTGGGGCGCAGGGGGATGCACTGGCCACCGCAGGGTGGATCTCAGCGCGCAGCACAGCACCGTGCTGAGCTTCAAATACAGACAGAGGAGCCCAAGCCGGTGAGCATGGGGGGGACGGAGCCGAGGCCATTCCGGTTTTTGCTGTCAGCCTTCAGGTGCAGTGGGCTGAGAGCCTCTGATGGCAGAGTGACGGAACTGCTGGTTTCCGAGCCTACACCTGGGGTGAGCACTGGAGAGGACAAGGCTGCAAACCGCCAGCAAAGATGTGCCTGGGAAGGCTGAGCATCCTCCGCGCTGCCCTCGTAAGCCAAGGCAGCCGGCGCCCAGCTTTGCAGCCAGCAGCAGTAGTAGACTCTGACTAAGTCAGATGTGTCGTGGGATAACTGTTATATTGCTTCTGCCCTCTTCCCAGCCAGCAAATTAACATCCCACAGTAAACACTCATCCTGCAATTAAAAGAAACCCAATCCTCACTTTTCATTTTCAGCCGTGATTAACATCTGCAACCTCATAAAATTATTTCTGTGGTTGGGAATGCAGTGCTTGCCCGTCCCCCATCACAGGCACCCCGTCCGCCCCATGGCACACCTCGAGACACTGCTTCCAGCAGGGAATCACAGGAGAGGAGCAGCCTGCTTTCCATTCAAGGCCAAAAGCCCTCGTTCCTCCAGTGTGCAAGGAAGCGTGTGCTGTGCAGTACAGAAACAGCCCCGGCCCCCGCTCCTGGGGGAGGGGGGAAGGTTCTGGTAGCACTGGAATAGCTTCCCTGCACTTGCCTGCACGTTTCCAGTGCTGTAAGGCTGCCCTGGCACCTCCCACACCCCCGGGTGTGTGGATCCTCCCCTTGGCAGCCTTTTTCCAAACCCTCCTTCTCCCCATCCTGCTCCCTATATATTTGAACCTCCGCAGAGCTGCATCTTCTCTCTTGACTTGCTCCTAGCAGGCAGAATGCAGGCGGGATCATCTTCTTCCACTGCTCATCAGCAGGTGAGATCCAACCCAGCCTCCAGCACAGGTAAGAGATCTCTCCGTTCCCTTCTCTCTCAAGAGGAGAAGGCTTGGGACTGCTGGTGGTTTGCTGCCTTCTGGCCATGGGCTCTGCTCCGGAGTCCTCCTAAACTCGTTGGGACCTGGGTCTTGTGGTTTTGTTCCTCTGACACCCAGAAAACATAAACTAAAACGAACCGTGGGGATGAACGTGGTGCTCTCTCTGGCCAGGAAAGGGTTTCTTTTCTCAAGCTACTAGAAGTGCCAGGAAACGTTTAGGTAGAGTGATGATTAAAAGCCTGCTAACTATCCTCTCATTTATTCATTTGCAACTTGTACAGGCTGTGCTTGCTGTAGTCAGATACACGATGGCAGGGAGTCCTCAGTGCAAAGTCGGGCTTTAATGGGGCTATTTTTGCACGAGTAAGACAGGGTGAAGGGAGAAGCAAGCTGGGGGAGTGGTTCCTCAGTGCTTCAGGTAGGAGTGTTTCCCTGGAGGAGCAGGGACACGAGTGATAAAACAAGGAAGAATAAAATCAAGTAAGAAGCTGACACAGCAAAGCCAAGTCGTGTGATTTAGCTGGGGGTTTTCCTCCACCTCCTCAGGCTTGCTGTTTTAAATGGGGAGAACGGGTCCTTTGGGTGGTGGTGGTTGTTTCCTAACAAGCTCTTCTTCAACTGCATTAAGGACAACTTTCTCAACAGTTTTAAAGACTTTCAGAGAGTGACTGGCAGGGTTCATAGTGCCCCGGAGACCTGCAGCAGCGTGATGGGGCCTCCCAGGATGATTCTAGGGGCTGGCGAGGAGGCTGACGCCTCGAGCACCGAGTGTCTTCAGTGGAAACAGGGCTTTCCACGCAAAAGCTTTGCATTAATGTCCCCAAACCAAGGCACAGCAAAGTGCAGCCGTCCCACCGAGGGCCAGGAGGAGCCGCAGAGCAGATCCTGTGCCTCAGCTCATCCCGCTCCTCGCCCTGCAGCGAGGGGATGCTCTGACCCCACTCAGCCCCCAGGAGAATCCTCTCCCCTCCCTTCGCTCCCGCTGCGGCAGCCCGGCCATACTGCCTTTCTTCCTTGCTGCCTCCACTCCTTCTCCTCCTCGCAGAAGAACCGCAGAGCTCTCGGCGTCTCCTTGAGGCCACGTGAGCCCGGCGTTGCCCCCGCACGTGTTGAGCCCCCCTTCCTCTCCAGCACAGGGACCCAACGAGAGGCAAAGCGAGGGACACGGCTCTGAGCCTTGAACCTTTCTGCACTAGAAACATACCACTGGCCTTTTTGGCTGCCCAGAGCCCCAAACCTTTCTGGGGGTCACCTGGATGCACATGGGCATCCTGGTTCACCCCGGACACTGCCATAGAGTGGGAGCATGCGCAGCCACTCCGGCAGGTGGTTCCTTCGTGAAAAGGGGATTAAAAGAACTCACTGTCATCTAATTTCTGTTTGTTTCTGTTCTTCCCAATGCAGAAATGTGTGGAGAGTGTGGTCCTGGCTTTGCATCACCTCTGGATGCGATGAAAGGCAAGTCTGAAAGCTGGGGCAGGCAGGGAAGAGCCCTGCGCTGCCTGTGATTTAGGTGAAGATTATAACAATGCTTTCAAGAGGGCATTATTAATGAACTCCATTCTTCGAGGAGACTCCCAGCAAGCGTTAGGGAAGTGATGGTTTCGCTTCTGGCCTGTCCTGAGGCCGAACATCAATTGCATAATGGCAGCTTGGTGTCAGAACAAACCTTTTCAGGTTTTATGGTGGTTTGGGATGGGTCATAACCTGCAGCAAAGTCACCTGTGGCTTCCTTGTGAAAAACCAAGTGGGATTTTTAGGTTTCTCAGAGGCAATTGTATTGCTGTAGCCACACGACAACACCACCGGAGCTAAACTCGGGGAGGGAGAGGGGACCATCCTGATTTTTCATTGCACTCCACTCCTGATGGCTGGGATCACAATGTGCCAAAACCTCCTTGTATAAAAACCAGCCTCGTGGGCTGCTTCCTTAC